AATAAAAAATTTGCTCATATCGTTCGGAGCATATATTCCCACAACAATCATTTAAGTCCATATATCTCCACTTCAACTGCTACCATGGTCATCTATTAACAACAAATGTGGTTTCAAGTAATTTTTAACATATAATACAAGTCCATTTATCTTCTTTGAATTAGCTGAAACAAATTCTTGTCCCAAATTCTTATTTATCAAATACTTTATATCTTTCCTCATTATATGTGTTTCTTGTAAGCAAATTACATCATATTTCAATTTGTTCAAATAGTGAAAAACTTTTTTTCTTTTCTGTGGAGCATTTGCCCCATTTATGTTCCATGTAAGACACTTCAAAGCCATCTTTATGCAGATGATTCATCACAGTCTTTGGAAATGACAGCCGTCTCTTCCCCATATGTAGAAACATCCATTTGCTTAATTCCAGATGTGTCCTGTTCCAAGTAAGTTCCAAATCTAGCTAAAAATTCCTTAGCCTTAGGGATCAAAGTTAATTTAAATCTTTGTTGATGATAGGAGAAACTTATCCCTTCCAGTTTTTCCCAACAAAAGAGAATTTTATTCTTTTTCAAAACATTTGTCAAGAAGGCATATTCTTTTCTCTTCATTAAAATCCTTGGTATTTCTTTAAGGACCATTATATCCACATTTTCGATATTAAGTTTAGAATCAAAATGCACTTGCAAGATCAAATCCCTTGTTTTTCTCCTAGAAAAATGTACCAACATATCTCTTGGCTTGCCACATGCAACTGCATATTTAGAATTTATACAGAAACTTTTTTCTATCTCATCTGATTTTATCTTCTTCCCAATCAAAAAGCACCTGTAATCATGTTTGTTAAATTTTCTTCTTTAGCTTCAGGGATTCCCCTGAGCCTTAAACAAAACTCTATCTCTCAACTCCAATAATGCAATTTTATCCAGCTCTTTCTCCCTTTCACCTTCCAGCAAATCAACTCTATCATTAACATTTTTAATCCCTCCTTCCAATTTCTTTTCCATTTTATCAATTTTTTGATCAAGCCTTTTTTCCAGTTCAGCAAACCTTAAGTCAGGTGCTTAAGTAATCATTTGTGTAGTTTTTAAAGTATATCCCTCAAACATACCTTTCATCCAGTCAGATTCACCCGATCCACGCCTTGTTTGCTTTCTGATAGCCATTCTCTCTATCTTCTTCTTCTCCCCTCCCCCCCACCCTATTGCTTAATTATTATTTTTTTTTAAAGCTATTTCTTACTTTCAGTATTCCAGTAGTCCAAATTTAATGCTTTGGCTCCCTCTTGTGGCCCAAAGTAATATTCCCCAAAGTCAAATGTAACCAGATAGCCACAACTAATGACAAAGCGGGGGGGAGGGGTGTCAAGTCAACAGCCAATCACAGCTTGAGAAAATCGCCAGACCAAAACTCTCCCACAGCATCTAAAAATAGATCGTTCTCAACTCCACGAGAAGCCACTTCTATAAAAATCTACCTTTTTAAAAGCAAAGGTAAGGTATAGATAAAAATAGTATCCTAAAAGTATAGAAAACTTCCTGCAAAACATTGAAACTCCCAGATTGCATGCTCGTATTTCAATCCTTCCAATCCAATAAGACGCACTTTAGAAGTCCCCAAAAATAATGAAAAGCCAACCAAGGGAAGAAATATTTCTGTAGTGGGGATAGCCTCTTTAAATTTTTTAAATAATGTACAACAAAGGTGATTTTAGAAGTGGGGTGGCTGGAAGTAATGTCCCTTTAAGGAGGCTTTAGACTCGGCTTCCTCAAGCTGTTCCGCCCGCTTCCCAGCTGATTGCTCACCATCCAGTAGCCATCCAGGATCCTTCCGTGAGTTGCAGCCGATCAAAGACACGAGGTGCAATTCGATAGATTCTCCTTGCCCGGAGAATGCTTCGTGTCTCGGAAAGTCCTGAGACACTCAAATTACCGCGCTAAAATCCCGGCTTCAGCCAGAACTTCGGGGGAAACTAACCTTCTACCATTGCTCCTCCACTGGAAGTCCCACAGACACACACACTTCTGATGTGGCCTTGAAATGTTGTCTACTCTGGTCCCAGTAAATGCAGCATTTCACCCATCTCCCACTGGATAAATCTCCCAAGAAATGCTAGGTTCTCTGCAAATCACTTGACAGACAACAAGATATAGTTTTTACTTGATTAGCACAATAGAAGTAGCAGTATACTTAGTAAAATAACGAACAAGTATGCCTAAATAAAAGTTACATGGAAAGCAGAAGCCCTAGAAAATCTAAATTACTAAAAAGAGTTTCCTATTTCAGATGGGTTAGTCAGAGTTGATCCTACAAAGTAACTCCTCTTTCTTTAGATAATTACAGTTATAAACTGGCCAATGTATTCTTTCTTTCTTTCTGTAATACTGAAATTCAGATATGAGGGCTAGTATTTCTATTTTGTAGGATAAGAGAATAAAAAGCCAGAAAAAAATAGTTTGCAGTCTCAAAGCTGAACAGAAATCTGAATGACAGTCCTCTGCAAGTTCAGCAGAGTGCCCAGTGGACTGGCAAACAC